CACCCAATCACAGGCAGACAACTTATTAGACCATGCCCAAATAAGGCAGATGCCCAGAGATTACCAATCAGGTGACTTCTCTACTATGTTTCCTGCGTAGCCTATAAAAGCTCACTGCTCATACTACTCAGCTGAGCGCTCCGAACCTCTTCTGGTTCTGAGTGCTACCCAACTCATGAAGTGTTCTTTGCTCAAATAAATTCTGTAAGATTAATCTGCATTTTTTAAAACGGTTGGGAATGCCTACCTCACTTTCGTGCACAAGAGAAATAAACTTCTATAATTATTCTAGTATTATTTGGGGTTTCTGATCCTCGAGCTGAATCTAATCCTAAAGAATACACACCCATTTCCCCAATAAGACATGACGGGTTTGCTTGCTCACTGAGACTCTTGGTTGTTCGTGATTGGCTGGAACCTGGTTATTTATGGCCTCAGGACTCAGAAACTCCATTTTCTATTATAACAAGATAAGGTTTTTCTTCTCCATTCTGTCTTTCACCTTTTCCCTCCTTTATCAACAGACCTTGTTTTCCTCCCAGAATATTCACTGCTTGAGAATTATTACTTTACTTGGAAATGGATCGACTTGCTTCATCTCATCCTAGGCCACCTCAAATCTCTGTTCTTTCCGGAAGACATCATGCTGAAGACCCCCACCCCCACCCCGCTACATTCAGGCCCTTACCCCACTAGGATAAGGGAGGACAGAAGCCACGAGAAAGCAACAGATCACAGAAAACCAACTAACCAACCAAACAAAGTGAAAGACAGAGGCAAGTACTCTATTGCTGGTTTTCCTTCCTGCTTCTAGAGTTAATTTTCCATCAATCAAAAATATCGCCCCCACCCTGAGTGTCAAAAGGAAAAGCACAGTTCTGCCTCCTGCCAAGTTTGTGGGGTGCTTGGTGTAACTTCAAATCAGTGTAACGTTCCTCCCTCTGAGACCATCTCAGGAGGGAGGTGTCAGGAGCAAGGGAGGTACCAGATTCGGGGTCTAGCTTGTTCAGGGCATTACCTATCAAATGTTTGGTAAATATGATCTGGATTTGAGTCTCTAGATAGCAGAGGATATAATGTTCTTCATCAAGTTATCTTCTCACTTCTCCACAGCCCACATTTCATGAGCACCTCCCATGTGTCTGGTGGTTGGTGCTAAAAATATATCAGGTGCTACAGGCTGCCTTGTCACCTGCGGTAGGCTATAGCTCCCTGTGGGCAAAAATCCAGATCTTCTATTTAATTATTTTGTGTTAGACAACAGGAGATGGGCAAACAGGAGTTACTCAGTACCTGGCTGAGTAGAATACATTACTAAGAATCAGGCACAGAAATAAACAATAAGCTGATAGATAAATAAAATGCATCTTGAATGAAGAGATGAGTTAGGAGACTGGAGTGGCTTGTGGCTGTCCTTTAGAACAATAATAATGGCTACACTTTGTAGAGTTCTTACTAGGGGCCAGGCATTGTGCTAAACACAGCTTCCTAGCAATCCTGAGGGATGCCTGCTCTGACGAGCATCATTCCCCAGTTTGTAGATGAAGAAATGGAGGCTTAGAAGACAAAGCCAAGATGTCCCAGCTATTAAGGGGCAGATCCAGGCTTTGAGCCCTTTCGGTCTGACTTCAGAGCCCAGCTCTTGGCCAGTATACAGAAGTGACTCTTAGGACATGAAGGAGACAGACCAAGGCTTGCTGGATGTCATGGTGAAAAGTTTGGTTTGGCCAAAGGAAGGCAGACGGTGCACATGCATCCACAGGGGAGGGCTTCACCTCCAGAACCCCTTTTTTCTTTCTCCCTCTTCCTTTAGGCTTTGAGGCTTTTCCTAGCTGATATCTTTCTTTCTTTCTTTTTTTTTTTTTTGAGTTGGAGTCTCACTCTTTCGCCCAGACTGGAGTGCAGTGGCCGCTCCTGGCCACCGCAGCCTCGACCTGCTGGGCTCCGGCGATCCTTCCGCCTCAGCCTTCCAAGTAGCCGGAACTACAGGAATGCGCTACCACGCCCGACTGATTTTTTGATTTATTGTAGAGATGAGGTCTCGCCTGCCCAGGCGGGTCTCGAACTCACGGGCTCAGGCTCCCAAAGGCGCGGGATTACAGGCTGAGCCACCGAGCCCAGCTTCTTTCTTTAAACCTAATGCAACAGTCACTGTCAAATAGGGTTTGCCTTTCTAAGACCCTGGATCCAATGCCTTAAATTACTAGGAGCACTAAGTCAATATCTGATGACCAACTGAAGACCTAAAGACATCAAAATTTAAATCCTTGCTCTAAAGCTGATTCTTTTATATCTCGTGACATTCTGGGGACACCCACAGAATGTCCCAGTAGCTGGGCTGTGAGTGGACTACAACAGCACAGACAATTTTTAGGGCTCCTGGGAGGGAAGACTCTGCTGGTTAGCTAAACAGCAAAAGAGCCAGGCACCACTGCCAGTGACTTCTCAGTATTTGTTCTCCTTTTTCATCATTAACACAGAGCTGCTAAGAGAACTACATAACTTGGCACGTGGCTGCCCCGAGTAATAATCACATATCCCAGCCTGCCTTGAACCAGGTGTGGCCACGTGAGTGGCTACAGAATAGAATATTGGCCATAGGATATAAGCGGAAATGGGGTGTCCAATTTCAGTGAAGTGCTTCAGAAAGGAAAAAGGAAAGTCCTTCTCTTACCCTTTTTCCTGCCCATTGGCTGAAAAACAGACATGATGGCTGGGGCTGGAGCAGTCATCTTGGACCATGAGTTGAACTTAGCCATGGAGGCCATGCACGGTGGAGTGTCAAGGTGGAAAGACCTGACACCGTGGGATTCCATTCCACCCTGGAATGCCTACCTCACTTTTGTGCACAAGAGAAATAAAGTTCTATAATTATTCTAGTATTATTTGGGGTTTCTGATCCTTGAGCTGAATCTAATCCTAAAGAATACGCATCCATTTCCCCAATAAGACATGACAGGTTTGCTTGCTCACTGAGAGGCTCACTGTTTTGTAATAAATCAATGACAGTAATAGCCTGGCCTGGCTCTTTTAAGATCACATCAGGCCAGGCGCCATGGCTCACACCTGTAATCCCAGCACTTTGTGAGGCAGAGGCGAGAGGATTGCCTGAACTCAGGGGTTCGACCCCAACCTGGGCAACGTGGTGAGACTTTGTCTCTACAGTAAATAAAAAAATTAGCCAGGTGTAGTGGTGCGCACCTGTAGTTCCAGCTACTTGGAAGGTTGAGGCAGAAGGATCACCTGCTCAGGAGAGAGAGAGAGAGAGAGAGAGAGAGAGAGAGAGAGAGAGAGAGAGAGAACGATCACATAAGAGTCTTAGACCAAAGACTATTCCACAAATGCCAACAGATCTGGGTTTTTTCTGCCCAGGAAAAAACATGTAACGATGATTTCTAAGGAAGCAGTTCATGATGGCTACAGGAAGTTTCTTAGTCAAGAAACCAAGTGGTGAAATGAAGCTGAAGTCATGGGTATTTAGTGGCTGTGAGGACCCAGTGATATACGACTCAAAATGGTGGGGAGAATGAACTGGGAACCATGCTGTGCACCTCTCTCTGTGTGCTCACGGTGAGTGCACACACATGTCCCCTTCCAGCTGGTGCCACCTGGCACGTCCAAGTACATCATCACACCTGTGCTCATCTCTGCCATCTCCTTCCCATTCGTTCCTTCACTCCAGCCCTGGGCCCAGCTTCCCCTCTCCCCACCCTGTCCCTGTGATTCTCTTTTCCCCTATTCTAAGACACAGGGCTAGCCCTGCCTCTTCCGGGAAGCCTTCTTCTCCCAGTCCAGGCCACATGTGTTCTTTTCATATTCTATCTGCTATAGAACCTCTCACCTGTGCATGGACTAACCCAAGGGCTTCTCTGACAGGTCGGAGTTTAACAAGAATGTAACGAAGTGCATGAATAAACTCCATATGATCAACGGGGCCTCAGGTCTAAGAGTTCAAGCTAACAGAGAACTCTCTCAAAACAGCCTCCAGAAGCCAGAAAGCAGGGTATATTCAAGAGAAAGAGCCAACCTGAGGAGTCCCCAGGCTGCTCTGCCCAAGGGGTTGTTTCAAGTAAAAATAAAGAAAAGACACACCCTGATGGATGGAAACAAAACTCTTAAGAAAGGAATTCATTTACCATCCTGTCAGCTTCTGGCTATTGTGATGGAGATTGGTTCAGCTGCAAAGAACAGCACGAGGTAAAGTGTTCTCTGCTAAAACAAACACCATGAAATGCTTTCACATGTTTGGGGTTGGTGACCCCCAGAAAAACTTGCACTCGATGGTCATTTGTTCTCCTTATCATGGATTTTCCGACTAACCCTCCTGGATGCCATGAAGACTAGAGAAGACAAACATTTCTAAATCTCTCTCCTCCTACCCCATGTCAGAAAGTCTTAGGAGAACTCACGTACCACACAGGCTCAGACCCGTGGTCTTCTCCAGAGAGAGGTGTCATGCATGGCAGGAGCTCACCACACCTGACTCCATTGAATGCCCAACTGGAGTAAAGATGACAGGTCAGCCTGGAGCACCTCAGGGGATGCAGAGAGTGCAGTGGGGTGTGTATCACTGGGTTTTCTTGATAACACCAAGGTTGAGTCAACTGTGGCTCAATGTGTGCATGGGCTGCTTGGGTTAAAAAAAGTCAAGCAAGAGTTGACATGATCCACCCACAAGTATTGAGTGAGCATTGTGAGGAATAGAAAGAAGCCTAAAACCCTTTCAAGGAATGTTCTATTGAATGCAGTAGCCCTTAATCTGGAAGGCGTGGTCCAGTAGCGATGGGCTATGAAATCCACCTAGTGGGTCTCTGCGAACATGTATAAATAAAGCAGGGAAAAACAGGAAGTAGCAGGCGTCACTTTCACAATTCTGTGACGCTTTTGGTTATAAAATGCTCTTCTTTGTATGGGCCACAGCCAGAAATGTCTGGAAGCCGCTGATTTAATACATGACAGCTAGCTCCCATCTGTGGGAACTCTCCTTCTTGCGTCTCTTGTCATTTGCCTTCCATGGAACGAGTCCTTGTCTGCAGGATGTCTAGTTCATTCTTCTGTGTTTCTTCTGTGTTTTCATCAAAGATGGCCATGATGGTACCCTTTTGACAGAGGATAGAAATGACTTCTTGTGGCTTCCCAGAAAGCAGAGTCAAAATGATGGTGTCCAAATCAGGTAAGACCAGAAGACAGGCTCGTTTGTGTGGCTTGCCCCAAGACTTCTGTGTTGCCAAACAATGAATGGTCACAGGTTTTTAGTGGCACCAGACAGAACGGAAGCTCACGAAGGAGAAGGTTCTGTTGTTCATTGCTCTGTCCTCAGTTCCTAGAATAGTCCCTGGCAAAAGCAGGCCCTCAATAAATACTGGCTGAATGAATAATTTGATGAATTAGGACAGTCTCTAAATTCAAAAAAGAATTACTTATGGACAGACAGGGGCAATGTATTCAACCCTACAAAGAAATCATATTCCACTGAGGTGCAATAAATTCCTTCAGCTAGACATAGAGAACTGGTTACCATGAGAACCAAGAATACGTGTATCTCCAGCTTAAAATGTTTTGGCAGCATCCATCATCTAGAGTAACCACTAGACCTGCCCATGATGTCTCTTCATAGTCAAGTTCCCACCTTCCTTTCTAGAAGCATTTTCTTCTTCCTACTTTCTCCATTTTGAACTCCATTCTTTGGCAATAATGAACTAATTCACAGTCTCCAAATGCAGGTGGCTGCTCTATGACTTGGTGACACTGCACGTTCAGGGTCCTCTGCCTGAGATTCCAGTCATCTTTGAAACCTCAGCAATTTGTTATCACCTTCCTTTAAGTCCCAGGCCAGGTGTGACCTCTTCAGAGGCTTCCCTTATGGCACACCCTCAGCCCCAACCTCTCCATCAAGTTCTCATCTGTGTTCCCGCTGTAGCGTGTGCACGCCAGTGGTTCTATTTCTGTCATCCTGTTGCAATTCATCTGGTTAGATGTTTGGTTCTCCCCATGGGATTTTGAGTTCCTTGAGGGCTATAGCTGATCTTATTCAGTAAGTGTTTACTGGAGGCATGAATGAGTGAATGAATGAATGGATTCATTGATGAGTAATCCAGTGAGTCCTCTTGGGCCCCTCCACCCACCCCAGCCCAGCTAGTGATATCCTACATATGCTACATCTGTAGGGATATACTGAGGAAATTAAAAAAAATTACGATAGACATTCATGATGGAGATGTGGCAGAGAGGGACCAGAAACAGTTAAAATTATTCTTTTTTAAAAAATCAGCCTGCAAGCTCCAAACCTGCTAGACATGGGATGTGAACAAATAGCTTTCTTGTAAGTACAAGATCATAGTCAATTCACAACCTTACCCCCACTCTTTTCTTTACGAAGTTATTGGTTTACAACCCCTGCTTGTCATGTATATCCTGGAAGCAATTTGTTCTTTGAAAATCTGGTTTTGCTGAATACAACCTTGCAGATTCCAAAGAAAAACATATAGCCATACAACCCAACCCTCTCCCTTACCTCAACTAACAGATAAAACCCCTCTCCTCTTTCTCCAGGTTGCTCAGCCTTGGAGCATTGGCCTGCTGAGTCGTGCTGGCACCAATAAAACGCTGCTTCCTAAGATAGACTCGGTGTCACGGTCTCTTGGTTTTCCCGCAACACAGGTCCAACTGGAAGCAAAAAGGAGGCCAGAGGCGACCGTGATCCAACAGGCCTACCACGGAGAAGGTATGAGTCCACTGCCCAGGCATACGCTGTGTGCGTATGGGCAGAGAAAACTCTAGCCTGAGCCCCACTGCTGCCTCGCTGAGGAGCCCCCTTCAAAAGAACTACAGGGAACTTCAAGGCACAAGGCCCCAGGAAACGCTCAGAAGCCTTGATCCCGAGAGAAATGACTTTTTTTTTTTTTTTTTGAGTTGGAGTCTCACTCTGTCACTCAGACTGGAGTGCAGTGGCCGCTCCCAGCCACTGCAGCCTCGACCTGCTGGGCTCCGGTGATCCTTCCGCCTCAGCCTTCCAAGTAGTTTGAACTACAGACACGCGCTACCACACCTGGCTAGTTTTTTGATTTATTGTAGAGATGAGGTCTCACCAAGTTGCCCAGGTGGGTGGCGAACCACGGGCTCAGGCAATTCACTCACCTCAGCCTCCCAAGGCACGGAATTACAGGCTGAGCCACCGAGCCAGCTAGAAATGACTTTCTATATGCAAAGACAAGTTGATCCACAGAAGTCCTTGGAGAGGTGTAGTGCAGGCATCGGCCAACGTTTTCAGTGAAGGGCCAGATAATAAGTGTTTTGGTGCTGTGTTTTGTGCTCCATCCTGTCTGCTGCAACTAAACAGCCTCTGTCCTGCAAAAGCAGCCGTGGCTAATCAGTAAATTACTGAGCATGGGTGTAATACAATAAGACACTGTTTATGGGCACTGAAATTTAAATTTCATACATTTTCACGTGTCACAAAGTATTCTTTAAATTTTTTTTTTTTTTTTTACTATTGAAAAATGTAAAAGCTAGCCTTAGCTCAGGGCTATATGAAAACAGGCAGCATGCCAGATTGAGCCAACTGACCAGACTGGACCCATGGGCCATAGTTTGCCGGCCTCTGGTCCAGTGTGGAGAAGTCAGGCTGTGTAAGAGCTGCAGATCTCCACTCAGAAAGGAAATACTCTGGTTGTTTACCCAGAATGCCCATCATCTGACCTATTCCAAATTACTGGTCTTTCTGTAATTTGGATATTTTAAATGCAAACAGGCCGGATGCGGTGGCTCATGCCTGTAATTCCAGCACTTTGGGAGGCTGAAGCAGGAGGATCGCCTGAGGCCAGGAGTCTGACACCAACCTAGGCAACATAGCAAGAGACGCTGTCTCTACAAGAAATCAAAAGATTAGCTGGGTGTGGTGGCCCTTGCCTGCAGTCCTAGCTACTTGGGAGGCCGAGACAGGAGGACTACCTGAGCCCAGGAGGGGCTTTTCATGCCACTGCACTCCAGCCTGAAGGACAAAGTGAGATCCTGATTCAAATAAATAAATAAATCCCAAAAGCCCACAGTCTTCATAAGAAATTGTATCCAAACAACCCAAGTTTTGATTTTGAATGATCCTGAACTTCCTTTCCATGATTTGGATTATGGAATGGTGTCTTAGTCCACTTGTATTGCCGTAAAAGAATGCCTGAGGCTGGGTCATCTAGAAAGAAAGGAGGCTTATTTGGTTCTGCACACTGTACAAGAAGCATCGTGACAAAATTTGCTTCTGAGGAGGCTTCAGGAAGCTTCCACTCCTGGCAGCAGCCCACAGACCCTCTGGTTGATAACCAAGCTCCAGATTCAATAACTTCATCCTTGTTCCAGTGGTCTATGCCCTCTGCATTGCTGGTCTGCCACACCATCAACCCTACAGTCATAAACACAAAAACCAACGAAAAAGGAAAACTCTCTGATCTCATTTTCCTATGCCTTTCAAAACACACCAGACTATCCCTGAAGCAGCTAAGCCAATTATACTCTTCAGACCAACTCCCTCTATCTAGCATCCCTATGTAGCAGGAATACGGGGAGGATGAGGTAAGGGCCCTCTCTCTATCATGGCTGGGGCACGGGCACAAGGAGACACAGTGGTAGACCCAGTGGTCTCTCCCTGTCCCATCTTCCTGCCCTGGGAACCTTGATTTTGTTCACCCTTTCCTGGTCTTAGGCTCAGGGAAGAGGCCCTTCCCCATCTCCAGGAGACGAGTCTTCATGAGTCTAAGGTTTAACTGTAGGCTAATTTTGGAAATTACATTTCTTTCGTCTGGAGTTTCTGGTGGCTTGGTTGATCATGGACCAGTAATGCAATTCTGACCAAAGAAATGATTCACACACTCTCCTTGACCAAACTTTAGTCATGATTTTACAAGCCCCCGTTTTGACCAGGCCTTGACATTGGCCTATAAGAAATGTAACTTTCAGTACAAATGATTGAACTCTCCACCCCAGCCCCACCACATACACACTCAAAGAAACTTGAACAAACTCTAACATGGCTTCCAGCAGCCTAAGGTCATGTTTCTGGAACGATCCAGCCTCCCTTGAGTTCTTGTCTGAAAAAACTCAAGGTTGCCAAATAATTTACTAACAGTTCCAGTCAACAACCTGATAGGTGCCTGACCTCCCTTTTCAAAGAGCATTAAAAAAAGCCTTAAAATTATAAATCCTTTCTCTGTCCCTTTGAGATGTATACATATCTCCTCTAACATAGAAATTGTCTTTCTCAAAGATCTGAAAGCCATTCTGTTGAAAGTAATCATCGACCAGGCTCGGTGGCTCAGCCTGTCATCCCAGCACTTTGGGAGGCTGAGGTGAGTAGACTGCCTGAGCCCACAGGTTTGAGACCCATCTGGGCAACTTAGCGAGACCTCGTCTCTACAATAAATCAAAAATTAACTGGGTGTGGTAGTGCACGCCTGTAGTTCTGGCTACTTGGAAGGCTGAGGCAGAGGTCAAGGCTGCGGTGGCCAGGAGCGTTCCACTGCACTCCAGGCAACAGAGGGAGACTCCAACTCAAAAAAAAGAAAGAAAGAAAGAAAGTAATCATCGGAAGGATAAGAGCTTGGCCTCCCAGTCTCTGTGGGAAGGTAGGAGCCTAACTTCTGGAAACTCCAGTTAGCACATGGAGATGCCCTAAGCACACCGACCAATACTTCTGCCTACTTTTTATAATTTTCCACTTCCTGACTTTCTCAGGCCCCCGCAGGTTCTCCCTCATTCTCCCTCTAAAACACCCAGTCGCCTCTACAGGGGTCGGAGGTGAGCTCGATTCTACACCAAAGTGTCTCTCCACGACCGCAGCAGCCGTGAATAAAAATCTATCTTGATCAGCTTTCACTCACGTCTGGCTTTGTTTTTTTCTTTAACATAAAGACAAACATAAGTCTGCTAAAGGGTAGAATTTTTTCTCTCTGATTTAAAACAAACTGAAACAAACAAAAAATCCCAACAGCCCAAGACTACGAAGAAATTTGAGGAGAAACCCGTCCATTAGGGATAAAGCAGCTGTGTGAGGTGGCGATTTCTAGAACTGCAACCTTGGACCATGAGTGCACAAACTTAAGGGTCAAGCGGG